GTAGAATAAACATTAAAAAACAATAAAAATGTATGAACCTCTGAACTACTAGATTTACAAGAATGTAAAATGTAAAGAAAATTATACAAATAATCCCACATCTTAAAGAAAAATTTTCAACGTTAAAGACGTCACATCAAACCATAAAGTACTTCTATTCTTTGATATTAAATCAATTTCCATATATGTACACATTTCCATTTACAATTTTCAATTTCTATTCTTTATTTAAATCAAAGGAAGAAGAAAAGGACATGAAAAATTTCACCAATGATTACATATGATAATCGTAATCAAAATATTTTCATTTTTTTATTTTACATTTTGTTTTATTTTTTTTTTTATTGATTGTATTTATTGTTTAAATTATTGTGTAATTTATAAATAAATTCTACAAAAGAATAAAATTTATTCAAAATTTAACATTTATTTGAACAATTGAATGATTGTGAACTACTTTGAATTTTATTTGCAAAAAATCAAAAGATCAAAAAAAAAAAAGAGAATTCTAATTTTCCGAAGAAGAAAAAACCTTTCCGGTTTGTCATTTTCTTTTTTCATTTCCCGTACTGAAATCAAACAGTAAGTATTATGTTCATTTAATTTTTGTTTTTGGTGTGAAAACAAACATAATTTCAATTATTTGTAAATCTTTGATCTTTAATGTTAATGTAAGAATCTCAAGTGAAAAAGATAAAGAAATCATGATTTTGTATTCAAAATTTTTCTAGGCGCTGCTAAAATATCATAAGCCATACACTGAATTTCTAATATTATGCAGAAATTTTGTGTGTGTACCTAATTCATGAGATTCAAAAACAAAAAAACAGCAATTTAAAGGAAAATTCAAATTTAAAAGAAATTTTCAATTTTTCATTTTTCTATTTCAATATTTGATATTTAAATTCTATTAAATTGATTATGATAATTTAAATGGAATTTAGTGGAATTATTTTAAAGATTCTTTTGAAAAAATATTTTTTTTGTTGTTTTTTTTTTTTAAGTGAAAATTTGCATATTTTATTGCGCTTGATTCTAAAGAAGTGCGAAGCAAAGACAAAAAAAAAAAACAAAATTTCCCGATAAAATTCTTTAATAAAAATTTATGAATACTGTTTTGAATTAAAGTATACCCATATATACGTATGTATATGTATAAGTCCCTATGTACTTAGATTTCAAATTAAATTTTTATTTTCTCCCCTAAAAATATGTATTGCAAAATTTTTATATAAAAACTTGCATTTAAGAAAATTTTTTAACTTAAATCAGCAGTATGAATAAGAAATTTTCTTATTTTATACTTTTAATGAGTAAAATATAAATTTCTCACCTCTAGTCTCACATAATATTCGAGAATTGCATGATTTACCACATTTCATTGCACAGAATAAAAATTTTTCACTTTAGTCTTTCTCTTTTTTTTTTTGCTAAAGCCCCGTGAAATATGCAAAATTATGTACATCAATAATCCCTTTTAATTCTATTTATAACAAAATATAATGAAATTCTATAAAACTAACTCTTTAACTTTACGGCTGGGTAGAGATGACACTCTAAAAACGAAGATATTCGTATCTCTGTCGCGCACGTATAATATGCAGGCCAGCAAACGAACGATATCATAGTATGCAGGGTCTATCGAAACGAGCATTGTATTTTACCGCATTAGGTATAATCACGAAATCGAAAATCTAATGCAAGAGCGAAATGTAATCAGGTTCATAAAGGAACAAAGAATTAGTTGACTGGCACATCTAATAAGAATGGATGGATTGTAAAAAAAAGTTTTTAAAAGAGGGTATAGAAGGCGCGGTAGACCAAGAAAAAGATTGATTCTTAGCAGATCTAAGAATAATGAACATCTCTAATTGGCACAATCTTGCAAAACAGAGAGCTCAATAGTAACAGAAGCAATGATTCACAAGGATTGTTTAGCTGAGATGACGATGATGGGGGCTGCAAAATGTCGGAATATGGTATATATTCCTGCCTAGTTGGTATATATTCAGAGCTTTGCTTAATTTGAAATGCGCTAGATGAAAAAAAGAAGAGAGTACGCAAGACACAATAGAGGAGATGGAAAACTCTTACATTTTCAAGACACTAACTGGCGTTTCGGACTGTGGGTTACGACTTTGTCTGGTATGAAAACGAAAATATTTGAGTTCTACAAACGAGATGCGTTAGCTGCTTTAGGTACCTCCAAGCATAATGCCCCATACATCGTTTGAGGTAGGAGGATTGGTATTTCTATGTCCCTACTTTTGGGTATGCAACAGCTTCCATCTAATTTACCTTTTTTCGGAGTCTCATATAATGTCATCGTAATTAAACACATCCGTTTCGAATCCGTTCTTGGAAGCTTTATATTAAATTATACATTATTCAACTAATTTTGCCCCAAAAATCAGAAAAGAACAATCATTTTATATATTTTTTAAATGTAATCGATTGTTAATGATTTGTTTTAAGTTTTGCACGAATTGAAAGCAAATATTAAGCAAAAAAGAATATAAAAAATTTATGATTTTTTTTATTAATATATAGGGTTACAAGTTACAACCTCTGTGAGCTTCTGTTCGCTTGATCTTTATAACTAAATTTGATACTGATGGTAAATGGTGAATATTTTATTGATTGGTCGGACATTTTCGTAAATAAATTATTTTTTATATATAAGAACTGAGGACACTATTACGTATATTTTTTTTAAACCTCGCTGAATGCATAGAAAAATATTTTTTTTTTATTAGCACAAAATACTTAAAAACGCGAAATTGATTTTAAAGTATTGCTTTCCATTCACTCATACATATATAAATACTATTATCTTATATGAATATATTTTGACTACACAGAGTTTTCTAATGATTTAATGATGCGTAAACATGATATTCAAAGACAGATTTAGTGCGGGATGAGTTGAATACATTTTAGGAAATGAAAATCAATTCAAATGTGTTTTTTACATTTCATGAAAAATAGAAAAGAAAGGGCGAATTTTTAAATAAAATAATATTGAATTTGAAAACCAAAGTCAATTTAATTTTTAAAATGTTATTTGAAAAACAAATTTAATTTTATTATTGTGCGAGAATAATTTTAAAAGCTAAAACCAGAAGATAAAAGAATGTGGTATAAGAACAATTGGCACTGGAAAGGCACAAGTGGACAAAATTATAAAGAAGCGTTTTGTCATATCTTCTCATCCTGTAAGATAAGTGCGACAAAATTCGACGTATGGGTCTGACAACAAAATAGCTGTTTGTAATTTAGTTTTGTTTAGTGTCTCAAGAAGTTTTAGTGCCCTGCTAAAGAAATTATATGGTCGAGCGAACGCTGAAGCTTTCCTATTTGTTTTTGGTATTAAGGAAAGCGTGTTAAAAATTTTTTCATGACATCTTTCAGTTTTTGACGTTCTTTGTTAATGATCCTAGTTCAGTTTGCAGAGTTACCAAAGAACATTTTTTTGAAATAACTACAAATACTATCTATCTATATTTTAAAATTATTTTTGTAAGTTAAATCTTGAAGTTTGTAGATCTAATTACCGCAAATTTAATCATTGTGTATATTTGGGCAGCAAAAATAATATAAAAGCACAAAATCGAGGCACTATCGGTCTCATTTTGTAAAACACTAACTTTGCTGTTCAGTAAGACACGTGATAATTGTTGTTAAGTTGTCATGTTGCAGTTGTTAATGGCATTTTGTTATTTGGGCACTAAAAGTATGCAAGAAGCCTAAAAATTATAAAATTCAAACCTGATACATACCGATTATAAAGCAAAAGTGAATGTTAGATGACTATCGTGACGTATCTCGTTGTTATAAGCCGTCAGAGATCGGTCTATTCCGAACAATTTTAAGATGATCCGTTATTGATTATTCAATTGATTCATTTGAAAAAATTGAGCCTTTCTTGCTTAATATTGCCTGCCGCAAATACGTATAGAGTAGTTTTCTTACTGAAAATCTGAAATACTATTCACAATTTCTATACTTACATAAATGACAGATGAACAAAACTAATAAAAATCTTATTTTTAAAAAAAAAAAAATCGTACAATTTTAAAAAAATTTTCATGTATATTGAAATTGATTTTTAACACAACTAAATGGGGAAAATGTACTGGAAAGAAATATTTATTTGTTTGTTTTATCATATGTTTAAATTTTTTTATTGTGAATATTTCGATATCATTCACAATTCGATTTTTTTTGCTTATTTCGTTTTTTATTGTTTTTTTTTGTTTGAAAATCGATTAGTAAATATGCTAGAAGTAATATATAAGTTTTACGTATGCCAAATTTATAATATTTTTTTAATATTTAAAATTTATAATTTATGTATGAAAGTATGCACATAAATACACGTATATATTACCATACAAGTATACAACAAATATACCACAAAATAATGTGTTTTTAACTTTGTTTTATTTAGTTTTTTTTTCGTTCACACGTACATATGTACATGTATAAACATGTGAATATTTGCATATATAAGTATGTATAAATAAATTTCGTAAATTTATGAGCACACGAGAGAAAGCTTAATACTTGTTAAAAATTACATACAGGTGTACTGGTAAATAAACTCTTGCCAATTGCAAAAAAAAATCTAAGTTACAATTTGATTGTCACTTAGTTATACTAAAAGTAAAACAGTGGTATGGTGGGGCACAGGTTGCATCGATTATCTACACTTAGAGGCAAAACAAGTGCTCATTCAAATTCAAGACTACGCTTTTTAGAATATAAGGTACTCATACACTAGTTTGGAAGACGAATTTGCAAGACATTAATTTGTTTTTGAAACAATTTCTTGATTTACTTTACAATACACTACAATCAGTTCCAGTTCAAATTTTAAATAATCGTAGCAAGCGGTTGTTTATTAAAAGTCTTTTCTTCTTTTTAATTTTCGAAACTTTTAAACACATTTACGAGTAGAGTTTAATTAAAATTAACAACAATAAAATCTATAAAAATCAATGGCTGGATTTCTTGCATCAATTTTTGGAACTGAAAAAGATAAAGTAAACTGTTCGTTTTATTTTAAAGTTGGAGCTTGCCGTCACGGTGAAAGATGTTGTCGTATTCATACTAAACCAATATTTTCTCAAACAGTTTTATTGCAAAATTTTTATATTGATGTAGAGAATTCAGTAAAATCTGCTGAATTTAATACAATCAAAAATATTGATAAAGAAATACAAAATAAATTTGAAGAATTTTATGAAGACATTTTTGTTGAATGCGAAGAAAAATATGGTGAAATTGAAATAATTAATGTTTGTGACAATTTAGGTGATCATTTAGTTGGAAATGTTTATATTAAATTTCGATATGAGGATGATGCTAAAAAGGCTGTTGAAGATTTAAATAATCGTTGGTTTGATGGACGTCCCATATATGCTGAATTGTCACCGGTTGAAGATTTTCAAGATGCATGTTGCCGTCAATATGAAGTACGAAATTGTCGCCGTAATCGATTTTGTAATTTTTTACATGTTAAAAGAATTTCCTCTGAATTGAAACGATATCTTTATCGCCCATTGAGACAAGTTTCTAATTATTCAACATCAAAAAGAGTTACGAAAGAAATAAAAGAGGCACGAAGATCTCATCGTAAGAGATCGTCATATGATCGGTTAAGTTTTGAATCAAGTTAAAGATGTTTATGTTTTTTTTATGTTTATGTTATAAAACTTTAATGGAATTAAATTTGTTTTTCTTTTGCTTATTTGAAACTGCATATATATGTGTGTATATTGTTAGCAGTAAAGTTAATTTAATTAAAATGGAAGTGAAGATTTACTTTTGTTGTTATTGTTGTTCTTGTTGCGCTGTTTTCAGGTTTTGTATATCCAGCAAAGTTGGCTGACGATATTTGGCTTTGTTCGAGGTTTCCTGGTTACCAGAATCCATTCGGTCCTGATCAACAGAGATATCCAAGCCAGAACAATGGAAAAAAAACTGTGTTTTAATCTCTGTGTTCTCCTGTATCTTAAGTTTGGTTTGATTTAAAGGTTAATTCTGTATCTTAAGTTTAATTAACAGATTTAAAAGCCAATTTTTTTTTGAGGATTTGATAAGCCGATTAGCTCTAACCGATATATTAGATCAAAGGAATTCGGCTTTTCTAGTTTACTATTTTTACTATTTAGATTATAGCAAGGAAATCAATACATATGTACATAGAGTACATAGAGTAATGAGAATACACACAATAACGGTACATACAGTCAAAGAGAAAATAGTGTTCCGCACTTTTTGTTTCACTAGAGCACACTCTTTAATTGAATTGGATTAATGATATTTTCACAATTTTGTGTGACAATATTACCGATATAATGAAATTTTGGAATTCAGGAACATTGGCCAGGCTGTATAAAATTTAAATAACGCCCTAAATTCATTTGACACAAGACGGAACAAATAAAATGAAGAAATTCAAGAGATTTATTTCTTTGTTTATTAGAAAAAAACTCATACCATAAGATTTTAACCATCTTCATAACCATTAAGCCATTAAGTATAATCAAAAGTTGTTCCAATTTTTATAGTGAATTTTAAATTATTTTTTTCATATTTTTTTTTTCGCTTTGTGTCAGAATTCTGTCTTCAGTTTCTTGTATTAGAATTGATTGTTCCCCTTCAATGATTGTTAGAAAAAATGATTTTTATTTTTTTAAATTAAATAAATTTTTATCTTGAAAATTAATTTATTCTATTAATATTATTTTTGAAATATTCTATTGTTTTTTCCTAAATTATATTTTTTGTTGTCTTTTTAAGTGGTAATCATTTTCGTTGCCATTCATTTTAATATTTTAAGCTTTTTCTTTTGTTTTTTTTTTTTGGTAAAGAAGACCCTCCCATATAATTGTAAAAATGAATATAAAAAAAAATTATTTGTAGTCCTTTTATTTCTTATGGTTTCTTATGATTATTAATAAAAAATTAAAAACATGCCATTAAATTTTGTTTGGTTTTTTTTTTTGCCATTTTTATTACAAACAGCAAAGCGTTTAGGTTTTTCCCTACTTTAATCAATTTATTTTTTTTTTTGTTTTGTTAATTTTCCTATTTTCTTTCGAATGACAATAACAAAAATTACTGCCACAGAATGTATCATCATTGGAAAATTATGGCCGCGAGACTTTTAAACCGATAACAGAAAATTTCACCCATAATTTTTAATGGGCACTAAAACAGTTGTTGTTATCTTCATCACGAACCACAAGAAACAAATTAATTTAAAAATCAAGAAATCTTATACACATATACAATTTACTTATTCATTTTATGTACCTACAACAATAATATTTTATACAATAAAAAGGACTAAAGAAAATTAGTATGTGTGTGTATAGAGCAAATATTCAAGAAGTGGAAGAATTTATGAACTCACGGTTTCGTATTAAATCAAGTATAATTTTTTTTTTAAAGAAGATAAAATTATCGCGTAAAAGACATTTTTTTTTTTCATTTAATAATATAAAATTTATAATATAGAAGAACAAAAACAGCAAAAAAAAATTTATTATTTTATTCCAATCAGATGGAAATTTTGGGAGAAAAATATTTTATTAAAATTTTCTTATTATATTTAATATACAAAAGAAGAAAGAATGAAATTGAATTTCATATATTTAATGATTTCAAAAGAGTATATAAATTAATTATGAATTATTTCTTGATCAACCATGCTTCTTCCATTAACCATTAATTAAAATTTTAAATTTATTAAATCACATTTTATTAAGAGAATTATTTATTAAAAATTCACGGCCAGAATTTGAATATTTTCTTATTGCTTTTAATAACTGCATTAAAAAAATTAGATACTTAGAGATAAGGTCAAACGATTTTCTTGATCAGCTTTCTAATCAACTTTTCAATGTAGAAGAAAAGCGTAACGATGGTACAATATTACGTAATTAATGTGCCATATAAAGTTAATATTAGTCGAGTGCGACAACCAACCTAAGCACGGAAGTTTAAGCTGGTTATTCATTCTCCCTGATACTCTCTGGTGTTAGAGGAAATATTAAAAGAAATTAATAACACACCTGATTAATTATCATTAAAAGGTCATCGGTTTGGAAAAAAATATTGGCGGCAAGGGGGTCATCCGGTTAGAGCAGAAAAACAAAACTAAGAATATTTAATTACGCTCAGTTAAACCTGGATATTATATTGCACGGATGTTAAACCTGGTTAAAAATCAACCTATATAACTATCATCAGTTATGTGTCTAAATAAATGTCTTATATCTGGAATAGACTTATAAACTTATAATTATACTATTACCTGTGACTAGACGAGCGCTCAAAAGTGAGGTCATCAAGAGGGCCCCCAAAATGAAACAACGTGCGAGAATGACCGGGCGACCCTACGGGTCCGTTGATATTTCCTTGAACCGATATCCTCCTCGAAAGCTTTTTCTCCTCCGCATCAAAGCAAGAGTTCGAGTGCTCTTTGGACATTGTCTCTCCATGGTTCATCTAAAAGGCACGGGCAAGATGGAGAGTAAACTGTGTCGTCTTTGTTTAGAAGAGTAGGAGACGGGGCAGCGGTTCCTCCTTTTAAAAAAAAACATAACCTATATACTATTATGCCAGTAAGGTAAATTTTCATAATAATTCATAAAGTGACGCAAAACTATGTATGTTATTTGAAAGCTGTTCTAATCCAGTTTTATAACAAAATCGTTTATGTACAGAATAATTTATTTATTCAAATTAACGTAATGACATTTTACAAAAAAGAAAAACACCAAAAAGGGAGTAATATAATGTCAAATTAAACTGAAAAGATGTTAAGAATTTCATTATTTTTTATTAATATAAAATATTTTCAGTTGCTTGCTGACATTACCATTTAAAAATAATAACAAATTTTCTTCTCAAACTACTATAAGGATTTCTTCTATGATAGCACACTAAACATACTGGAGGGAAAAATATTAATTATGAATATTTCTAACAATGTTCTATTTAGTTTTAATTAAAATTCATTTTATCTAAATCTTAAAATCTTTATTTATTTAAATCAACTATACTATGACACCATCAGATTCACCTAGTCACACATAAATATTTTTTTGTAACATTATTACGCTAAAAATGAATAAAAATAGGAAAAAAAAATCATAACAATTATCTGGCATACGTGGCTTTTCTTTAATTGTTTTAAATTAAAATTTTTTAATATCTTAACTCTTGCAAAAATACAAAAGTAGTTAAGAAGAAAGAAAAGTAGTAGAAATTTTAGTCTCGCGTCTCATTTCTACTCTATAATGATTTCTATTCCGTTTTAGAAACAATTAAAATGCAAATGAATTTCGCTTATTTTAATAAAAATATTTATTCAAGTGACTTTTTTCAAAAGATTGTTTTTCAAGACACGAATATTAAATTAGTCTTTGTTACAAACGAGTTTGTGTTTAAATTGAAAGAGTAAGGCAAAAAAATCTTTTATTTTCTTTGATTATTATCAAGGAAGTTTACCATCTTAAGATTTTTGCAATTAATTCTTTTGTTGTATATTAGTATAATATGTATACCACAAAGATCCTTATGATTTTTTGGCAGTAACAAAATGTTTAATAAGAAAATATTAAAATAATTATAAAATTATTGTCGGTTTTAACGTTTACCAAATATTGTTAAGACTCACAAAATAAAGAGCTTAAGATTTTTTTCGAAAACGGAGGTGTCATGGTATCACGGCTTTTTACAAAACCTGGTATGCTGCAGGATTTTCAAAAAGGTCATTGAACAAATGATTATATTCATTTTTGCAAAGGCTCTCCTGAAGGCAGTTGGACGCTCGCAATTACAAAATTTATACAGGTTGTCAAATTTCTTGCAACGCTATGCGACGTGTTCATATTAAATAAATTTTTTTTAATTCCTTACTGACATGGAAAGCTCGAGTCAAGTTCGTTCTAGTTGGGCGATTCAGTTCTATAATTCAGCAAGATTGATTTGCGCTCAGTAAAAATAAACATTGTATCGAATTTCAAGCCTCTAGATTTTTTCACTCGAAAATAAAGGGCTTCAAAAGCTGACAGGCGGAAAGACTCATATGTCTAGCTTAAAATTATTCTTTGTAACAAATTTAATGTAAAATTTATTGAAGAAATTGTCCATACATAGTTTTAGCGATCGAAATATTTCAGAAACCAGCACATCCGGATATATTTTAATTTGACTTACCTGCTACAATATTAGACAACGGCAATAAATATGTTTTGAATTTTTTTTCTGATGAAAAGCTAATTTTTCTAATCATTACCTGCACTTTATGTGCTCTATAATAAAATACAAAATAAATAAGAAAAATTAAAATAAAAAGTTTTATTAAAAACAAAGATAAGAAAAAGTGAAAGAGAATTCATAAAATGTTCCGGTGAAATTAAGTTAAACTTATTCCTGTTAAAACCCCTAAAGACACATCAAGAAGAAAACTAAAATGAAATCTTGATAATAATGTAGAAAAATTTACACGAACGCTTTTGCAATAACAAAAAATCCGTCAAACAATTTCACGCTTATTGCGCTACCAAAAACGATCCATTTGACATGATAAATTTTTACCCCAAATGGGAATTTCCTTTTCCTTTCTTGTTTGTATTTTTTTTTTTCAATTCAATTTCTCTTG